CCCTCCTTGGCCTCCCAGAATGCTGGGATTATAGGCGTGAGCCACCACGCCCAACCAGAAGTGTTTGATTTCTAAATATTTGTGGTTTTCCAAAATATTTTGTCGAGTTTGAATTTAATTCCATTGTGGTGAGAGAAGGTTTTGTGTATGCGTTCAGTCCTTTTAGATGTAATGAGATGTGTTTTATCACCTAGCATGTGGTTTTCATGGTAAACATTCTGCTGCTGTGGAGCAAGTACTCTAAAAAGTATCAATTACGTCAAAGTTTTTGACAGTTTTGTTCAGGTCATCTAAAGAATTTACTTTTTTTGTCTAGTTGTTTTAATAATTATTACCAGGGTGATAAAATCTCTATGCTAATGGAATTGTTTTTTGTGGTAGGTTGTTCTGTCTACCTACTTACCTAACTACATACGTCCGGAGTTTATAGTTTTATCTCTAGGAGGGTCAGGTCTGATGGGAGCTGTTACATCGCCATTCCATTATTTGACCATTACTTGAATAAGTACTATAGAAATGTTTCAACACACTGAGCAGGGATTGGCGTACTTTTTCTGTAAAGGGTCAGCAAATGTTTTAGGCTTTGTGGACCACATGTGATTTCTGTTGCATCTTTTTTCCAACAAGTCTGCTTGTGGGCCAGATTTGGCTTGTTGGCCACAGTTACCGACCTCTTTTCATCAGGAAGCTGCCCACTGAATCAAGTAGCTATTTTAAAGCACGGGCTAAATGATAGGGATTTTTACACTTATGTGCAGGTTCCCATGTTTAGAATATTGCAGTTAAAAAACTGACCCACCAGGAAATGTTGTTTTGGCCTGTAATTCCTAAATATTTCTGAAATTTTCTTTCCTTACCTTCTTCCCCCAAGCCTCATGCTGGGACAAGGTGGAAAAAACAGACTCTGTCCTCAGGGTGCTCATGGTCCTGGAAATGTGCTCCTCTCTAGCTGTAAGTCTGGGAGAAGGGCTTATCTGTGACGGTGAGCTAAAGCCATGATAGCACAACACACCGAATATGTGAGCAGGTGCCGACTAATGCCCCCTGATGACTGGAAGGTGCTTCCTGATGACTGGGAAAGGCTTTGTGAAATGAAAGGCCATTATTTCCAAAGTATGTGAAGCAACTATGAATAGTTACTAGAGTAAAAACTTAATATTGGATAATTTAACAAAATGTTAGCAAACTTAATTGATAATGTGTTTGGTAACTCAGAATGAGAAGTTACTTTTTACCGGTGATTGATTTGATAACTACATCAGGGAGACTTACACATGGATTAGGAATGTTTATTGTAGAGAAAGGTAAAGGGTCAATCCTGCTAACACAAACAACATTACGTGGGGGCTACGCTTTTTTTTTTCAATGGCCTGCAATGCCAACATAAGAGAAGCAAGAAATACTCTACATGCCTAAGGAGATGGGCGTTTACACCCCTTTCAAAGATCTGTGGTCCTGTGACTCAGAAGTTTACGTTTAATATGTGTGTGTGTATATATACACACACATATATATACACGTATACATATATATACACACACATACATATATACACACACATATATACACACATATATACACGTATACATATATATACACACACACATATATATACACACACGCGCATATATATATATATATATATATATTTTTTTTTTTTTTTTTTTTTTTGAGACAGTCATGCTGTGTCTCCCAGGCTGGAGTGCAGTGGTGTGATCTTGGCTGACTGCAAACTCCATTCCCCCGCCCCCTCCCCGGGTTTCTCTGCCTCAGCCTCCCGAGTAGCTGGGATTACAGGTGCCTGCTACCACGTCTGGCTAATTTTTGTATTTTTAGGAGAAACGGGTTTTCACCATCTTGGCCAAGCCGGTCTTGAACTTCTGACCTTGTGATTCGCCCACCTTGGCCTCCCAAAGTGCTGGGATTACAGGTGTAAGCTACTGCACCTGGCCATAATGTATATCATGTTTTATGATGTGATTAAAAGCCATAATGGGCTGCCAAGGAGCAGTAGAGACTCTGGTATTTGATCTTTAGAAGATCAGTTCCTGACGGAGGCTGGATTGAGTCTTCAGTGAGACTGGCCCTCCGGCTCAGCTCAGCACTGCTGGTCTCCAGGATTTACCTGTGACTTCCTCCAGGATTGTCGTTGGTTATTTCCACTCTATTTTAGGTTCAAAGAAGACTACTGTTATTTATCTGTAGTCCCACTGCAGTGCGTTTGAAAGGTAAGTGTTGTTTACCTTCTTATAGATGGCCTAAAGCAGTGAGGCAGCATTCGCTTCTCTTGGCTTCAGGAAAAAAACTGGACTCAGGGCCAGAGGAAGAGTGTGCTCCTTTCCTTCCCACTGGTTGCTTGGCTCCTGTTAATATGTCATTATGCAGATTTAAAGGTTTCTTCACTCCTGTTTCTGTTGATACTTCATTACAGTTTGGAAACGCCTTTACAGGACAACTGTGAGGGCCAAAAGCTTCAAGCTCTCCAGGGATCGGGAGAGATGGAGTACATGTGACTTGAAAAGCAATGGCCTAAAAGACAGATTTCCATTTCCTGGCCAGCTGCTGACCTGATACTCACCCATGGTGTTGTGGTAAGGCAGAAGCCACTCACTGGCTGTTCTGCGGAAAGTTACTTAACCTCTGTTCCCTCACCCAACACCTGACTGCAGCCGTGTGAAGAGGAGACCCTGAGCCAGGGTCGACCAGCTAAGCCACACCACACCAGATTCCCGACCATAGAAACAGACGAGAAACATCTGTTTTTTTTTTTGTTTGTTTGTTTTTTTGAGACAGAGTCTCGCTCTGTCACCCAGGCTGGAGTGCAGTGGCGTGATCTTGGCTCACTGCAGGGTCCGCCTCCTGGGTTCACGCCATTCTCCTGCCTCAGCCTCCCGAGTAGCTGGGACTACAGGTGCCCACCACCACGCCTGGCTAATTTTTTGTATTTTTAGTAGAGATGGGATTTCACCGTGTTAGCCAGGATGGTCTCGATCTCCTGACTTTGTGATCTGCCCACCTCGACCGCCTCCTAAAGTGCTGGGATTATAGGCGTGAGCCACTGTGTTTGGGGTAATTTGTTGTGCAACAGATACCTAATATATCACTTTGTACTAAGACTTAAATAATATGAGGTCTCTGCACTATTGTTAAGTTTTTTTCAATTAATCACTAGGATTCCACTGGGTTTGAGTACAAACTTTTCTGGATGTCAGAGTCTTCACCAGGTTGGTGTCAATGTCAGTCAATATCAGTTAGTGTCAGTGAGCCGCATCTCTGATACAGCCAGGCCACATCTGCTGCTCATGCCACTTATGCCGCTTCTTCTGAGTCTTCTAATCAACCTGGCATGGTATCCAAATACCTGAACTTTAGGCAATTACTCCTAACTGCTCTTCTCATACCTGCAAAGGCCGGCTCTGGATTTTTCTCTCTTCTCTATAAAGCATGAGTCTTTGCTGCTTCCTGCCTCTGACTGTTGCCACTAAGTGGGTGGTGATGACTTGATTAAAACCTCCTAAGTTTCACCCTGCTCATTGGGCACCCACTGACTCACTTGTGCCTACTGCTTACTTCTTTTGCAACCCCCCTCAAGGGACCAGCACTGGGCTCTCTGATCAAGCCCTTTCACAGCAGACAGGCTTGACAGATCCCATCATTCCTAGATAGCACTGCTAGGACATTTAAATAAAACCAAAATTTTTGGTTTCTCCTGAGCTCTAGCTTACACTGTTTTTGCATTTCAGATTTTTTTTTTATATGGAGTCTTGCCCTGTTGCCGAGGCTGGAGTGCAGTGGCATGATCTCAGCTCACTACAACCTCCACCTCCCAGGTTCAAGTGATTCCCCTGCCTCAGCCTCCCGAGTAGCTGGGATTACAGGTGCGTGCCACCATGCCTGGCTAAGTTTTTTTGTATCTTTAGTAGAGACGGGGTTTCACCATGTTGGCCAGGCTGGTCTCGAACTCCTGACCTTGTGATCTGCCCGCCTTAGCCTCCCAAATTGTTGGGATTACAGGTATGAGCCATTGCACCTGGCCCTCAGATGTTTTTAAAATTTAATTTCACTTGATTCTCTCAAAGGTTCTGTTGGAAGTATGCCTGCCTGGGATGCCTATTTGTAATTCTAAAAAGAAAACTAAATGTTCATAGCCATGGCACATTCATCTCTTGTAATGTCAGTCCTGTCCCGTGGTTGGAAGCCTCGTTTATTTTGTAGCCTATCCCTTGACTGGAGTGGACCCAAACCTTGGAAAATAGAAACCTGCTTAAGCATTCCTGTGCCCAGGTTTGGTAAGGTCGGAGATGGCAAACTGAAGCAGTCATTCCCACCGATATGATCGTTCCAACAGAAGTGATAATGCGCCATAAAGCCAGAGCAGTCAGTTCTGCAGCTGTTCATGTTATGTATTTATCGGGTCACTAAATCCCCGTGTGCTGTTTAGCAGTCAGCCGAGTTGGAGGCTGACTTCTGACTGGATTTCAATCACTCCAAGAAGGTTAAGAACAGCCTGCGCTGGGCGTACTACCTAGCATGGCCCGCCAGGGCTAAGATTTGTTCTTAAAACTCACAAAGTGTCACAGCTCATGCTGTCTGACCTGGCAACTGTTGGTTTTATACACTTCAAAAGCAGTCGTCTTTTGTGAGGTTACTTTTGTCTGAAAGCTTCCTGTGACGAGTGGCTCTGAGGGTATCCGTGAGTAACACTCGGTTTAACGCAGAGACTGAGGCTCTGTGGGAGAGGTGGCGCAGGTGGAGCCTGAGGCTGGGGTACCGACCTGCATCACTCTCCATGCAGCCACAGCTTAAAGGTGAGCACCTTCGTACGCAATTTAAGAAGAAACAGATCTGTGTTTTTATAAACTGCAAATTATATGATTTAACATACACATCAAAATTCAATTTGCTGTGGTGTTTTCTAAGTTCATGCTGTCTGTATATTTTCATATTTTTTCAGCTACTAAATCAATATAAAGATTGTAGATTCAACAGAAGACAGCTAATTATATAAAAATAAGTTTTTATTAACCAATGTGCTCAGAGTAGAAAATGCAGATAGATGGGTTCACTTTACCATATTTTGGGATCATCTTATTGGGTGCAGCACTGTAGGCAAGTAAACGAAACCAAAGGCTGGCTCCCCTGCCCGAGGCCTGGGACCCATGTGAGACAGCCAGCCGGTCATCTCCGCCTCCCTGGCTCCCATGAGCCTCTTGGAAAACTGCTTCCGTTCCACTTCTGCCACCCTTCAGCTCCTCGGGAGAGCCAGAGTTGAGAAGAAATTAGCCTGAAGTTGAAAGGGAAAGTTCTTGCCTGAAACAGTGCTGGGAGTAAGTCCAGACCATTTCCCTCAAGAGCCACCTCTTCACTCCTTAAGCCAGAGGACACCACAAAGACATGGTTAACGGCCTCTCATGCCACTCGTCAGGTGGCTTGTGAGGGCAGCCAGTGAGGGCCTGCAGGATTTCAGGGAAGTGGCTCAGGCGGCCCACTCAGAACTTCTGTAAGAATTTGAGGACCAGGTCCCGCAGTCGCACTCTGAGCATCTCGTCATTGTCGCAGATGATATGGGTCGAGTCTTCTTCAATCTGGATGAGCGTCTCAGCTTCCTGGAGCAGGACGATATGGCCCTTGGCTGTGTCCTCCACCTTAATATCACTGAAGCCATGCTGCTCCGAAAGAAAAGAGAGAACGGGGTGGGCGGACTGCAGCTGTGAGATCTACAAACTACACTTCGCAGACTTGACCGAACTTTCTAGAAACTGACACGCCTCAACATTAATTCTTCAGACTAGTCATAGGGCCTTTGACAGCAATAGTTTCATATACTTGAAAAGAGACCCAAAACATGCAAAATCTCATGCAAAACAGAACAGAATTTCCACAACCTGCCTAAGCTTTGTGAGCTCTTTGAGGGCACGTCCAAGCCCTATGTTCAGGAGTCTGGGACGCTCGGTTGCTTGCACCATGCCGTCCCCTGGTGACAAAGCTCCCTCCTAAGTTGCAGCTCTCTGAGCTTCCAGGAAAATGCCAGGTGACACCAAGATACCCCTGACTGTGGGACTTGGCAGAGCCCTCTCAAGAGTGAAGGAGAGAAGGCAGCAGAGCAAACTTTTCTCAGCTATTGCTAAGGACAGAATTTCCTTCCAAATCAGACGTGACGTGGAAAGGAGGCATGTGCCTGAAACACACACACAGCAGGTGAAGGGCCTCGGTGTGGGGAGGCCACCTGTACTTCATGGCTGCAGGCTCCCCTAGGGACTTGGACAGGTGCTTGTTCCTCCTGCATGGAGGAGCTGAGGGGGGCGTGCCAGGGTGGAACACTGGGTCAGGACATAGGCCAGGCCAGGCAGAAGGTCCTCATCTTAAGTTTTAAAAAGTCAAGCTTGAGGCCCATCAATAGGGCCCAGGAGCCCTGCAAGGTCATGGAGGAGGATGGAGGAGAGCTGCAACCACCCAGCCAGAGCCTTTTCCCTATGGGAAGATCAACGACAGGTGGTGGAGAAAACCAATCCTAGGAAAGGGAAAGTCTTTAAGATTTGAAAGTCCGTAATTGTGATATTTACATTGGATAGAAAATTTGTAGAAATCTCCTTCCATGTAATTATAATTTGTTGCAGTTCTTGCAAGCAGCAGCATGAACAGTATTACCTTTAGCCAATTCCTTCTCCTTCCTATCAAGGACTCTATAATCCTAATAAAGTCATCTCTGAAGTCCTGTGACTGAAGCCAAAATTACAACCTTTAAGGTTAGATATTTTTTTTCTTTTAATCATAGTCAAGAAATCTCATGTCTGGGAGAAGCAGCCATCAGGGCTGCTGAGACAGAGGGGAAGGGCCAGTGTCCCCTCCCTCCATGGCCTCCTGCAAATCCTGACACTCAGCTGGAGCCTTGGCTCCCCTCTGACAGCAAGGAGTCACGCGTGGAAGCGCAAGGCTCTGGCAGGGCCGGGTCCTCCTCTGTCCTGGCCTCCCTACCCTGCCCCACTCATCACATCTGTGTGTGGAAGCAGCTTTTTCTTCAGTCTGGAGAGGCCTTCTGGTGACCTCGTGCTGGCAGGAAGGACGGGGCACTCCTCAGTCCGCTGTCTTTCTCCTGGGTCTCCCAGCAGGACCTTAGACCAAGCAGATGCCACAGGAGAGCGGGGACTAAGTGACAAGCAGCAACATCCACTCCCTGCAGCCAGGGGGCCATAGTGAGCCAGAGAAAGGCTGCCACGTGTGGCGTTTCCACGGCGCCCGCGAAACCTGCTCACCTTCTCCAGGGTCTGCACAAACTGCTCCACGGGGATGGAACCGCTCAACAAAGGCTTCAGGACTTTGCAGTCCGGGACATCATCGCTCACCCGCTTTCTCTTCTTCCCACTGGTGGGCTGGGCGGGCCGAGGAGGGGGCTAGAGCAGAAGGAAAGAGTGGCTTTCATGAGCTTCCTCTGAGCAGCAGGGGCCACTGCAGGCCACACTGAGAGCCTGAGACTATCCTGTCCTCACAGGCCACAGAGCCCTGGCCTGGTTTCCTCAGCTGGCACTCAGTTCAAGTTCCCTGGCTGCCGGGGGCCCCATATCCACACGCTCTGATGCTCAACTGTCCACCCGACCAACACCTTATTCGCTAAGATCTCTGCCTTTTATCAAGATCCACTGTTAAACTTTCAGGTGGTTCACTTTAGTATCTGCTGAGTAAATTCTCCACAATACACTGTGTCGTGTTGCAGGTACAGTCATGACCCTGTGGCTAGGTACACTCACTGCGGTCAGACCAAAAGGGGGAAACCCCAGCTTTGCCACCATCTGGCCAATGTTAGAGAAGCTGCCTACAAAATGATGACAGCAGCGAATTCTGAGGGCTCAGTAAGACAAGGCGGGTCAAGGACCCAGCACAGGGTCTAACAGACTTTAAGTGGTAGCTAGGAGCAATTCTACATGTGGCATAAAAGTGACACAGTCTAGATCTGAAAGGAATTCTTAAGATGCAGTGCCTGCCCTGGAGCCGAAGTGCCACCCGCTTGTGTGCGGGTCAGTGGCAGGGCCAGGCTCTCGGGCAGCCACAGCTTCATGCAGGTGCCCTCCAGTTCCAGCCCCCAAGGGCAGGGCTGCACCTGCTGCCCTGCCTTGCATGGCAGCGCTCCCCTATGGAATGTGCCTGTGGCAGCCCTTGGGATGATGTGCGGCCTCATCTCTGGGCAAAGCAGCCTCTCTGAGGCACATGGCCAGGGAAATAATTCTTCAACAAGAATTCATGGGCCGGGCGCAGTGGCTCATGCCTGTAATCCCAGCACTTTGGGAGGCCAAGGCAGGTGGATCACGAGGCCAGGAGATCGAGACCATCCTGACTAACATGGTGAAACCCCGTCTCTACTAAAAATACAAAAATTAGCCAGGTGTGGTGGCGGGCACCTGTAGTCCCAGCTACTTGGGAGGCTGAGGCAGGAGGATGGTGTGAACCCGCAAGGCGGAGCTTGTGCCACTGCACTCCAGCCTGGGCGACAGAGCACAACTGCATCTCACAAAAGCATATGAAGTGCTGTTTCAAATATAATCTGTTAGGTGGTCTGGTCTCTTGTTGGGGAGAGGGTCCCCTCCACTCCCGCCCAGCACCCCCTACCTGAAGCAAGTGCTTGTTATCTTTGGTGTGCAGCACGGCCGAGACGGTTGCCAAGGAGATGCCAGGCTTGATCTCCATGGGCACCAGTGAATCTGCGAGCTGAAAGCAAAGGGCACAGTTCAGGCTGGGGGCCTTTAATGATGACCGTTACTCTTCCTTTAATCTGTATTTACATCACTGCAATCTACAAAGACAAAGTAACTTTAAACAATTTTTTTTTTTTTTTGAGATGGAGTCTCGCTCTGTCGCCCAGGTGACACACCAGGTGCAGCCTTTCATTCATTCTGGCCTTTAGTTCACCCTTGTTCCCTCTCCAGGTGACCAGTGGCAGGAAGGACAGGGACAGCAGCATGGGAGTTGAGGGAGCTCTCTGCTTGCTGAAAGTCTGACTTCTCCCGATGGTGGGAGCCACGGCTTTACCTGGGGGTGGTGTCTTTCTGACCACCTGCACCTGCTGGGTGCCCTGCCATGCGGCCTGACCTTATGAAGTGTTCTGTGGCTGCGTTTAGCCGCATGGGTTTTAAGACATGTAGGCCTCGACCTAGCCAAGCCACCTTTATTTAAAAACAAAAACACGCAAGAGGCCATTATGTAAACATGAAGATCAGTAACACACAGGCAGAGGAAGCAGCTTAGGATAGTTAAGCAGATTGGCAAATGGTACGTGAGGCCTGTTTCATGAAATAAGAAAACTGCCCGTGGTGAGCGTGAAGCGGCCCTCGCGGAAGAGCAGGGTGTGCGCCAGATCCCGTTCTTCACTTCAGGCCGCCTCCTCCCTGCACAAGGCTGGGGTGGGAGCTTTGGGTTGGCGTTCTACGCTCTCCAAGAAGACTCTGAAGGAGTCTTTATTTTTTTTTTTTGAGATGGGGCCTTACTCTGTTGCCCAGACTGGAGTGCGGTGGTGTGATCATAGCTCACTGCAACCTCAACCTCCTGAGCTCAAGTGATGTTCCCTCCTCAGCCTCCCCAGTAGCTGGGACTACAGGCATGAACCACCACGCTTGGCTAAATTATTTTTTTGTAGAGATGGGGGTCTTGCTGTGTTGCCCAGGCTGGTCTTGAACTCTTGGCATCAAGTGATCCTCCTGCCTTGGCCTCCCAAGGCCTGAGCCACTGTGCCTGGCCATAATGTCCATTTTAAAGGCAATCACTGTAGCAAGTTGGATTGAGACAGTTATCTCCATTAATGATCAAAGACATACAATTTGGCTGGGTGCGGTGGCTCACGCCTGTAATCCCAGCACTTTGGGAGGCCATGGTGGGCGGATTGGAGTTTGAGACCATCCTGGCCAATATGGTGAAACCCATTTCTACTAAAAATACAAAAATTAGCCAGAATTGGTGGTACGTGCCTATAAACCCAGCTACTTGGGAGGCTAGGGAGGAGAACTGCATGCACCCGGGAGGTAGAGGTTGCAGTGAGCCCAGATAGTACCACTACACTCCAGCCTGGGCAACACAGCAAGACTCTGTCTCAAAAAAAGACATACGACCAGGCACAGTGGCTCATGCCTGTAATCCCAGCACTTTGGAAGACCGAGGGGCGGATCACAAGGTCAGGAAATCGAGACCATCCTGACTAACACAGTGAAACCCCGTCTCTACTAACAATACAAAAAAATTAGCTGGGCATGGTGGTGGGTGCCTGTAGTCCCAGCTACTCAGGAGGCTGAGGCAGGAGAATGGTGTGAACCCACGAGGCGGAGCTTGCAGTGAGCCAAGATCGTGCCACTGCGCTCTAGCCTGGGCAACAGAGTGAGACTCCATCTCAAAAAAAAAAAAAAGACAATTTAAAATGAGATATCAGTGTATACTTAAATAACTGGAAAAGAATAAAATTGGAAAAGAACTAAAAAAGGACAACATCCAATATTAGCAAGGAGGCAGAAATAAGAGCTGTCTCCAGCTCTGCTGTGGGAGTATAAACTGCACTCATTCTAGAAGACAAGCCGGCAATATATAGCCTAGAGCCAGAAAAGGATGTTCATAATCTTTGACCCAGAAATTCTAATTTCAGAAAATTTTCTTGTGGAAATAAACATATATGGACAAAGATTTATGTAAAAGGATGTTCTTAAAAGTGTTATTTATAACACAGAAAAAGCAGAAATGAAAATCTATGAATAAAGGAACTGTTAAATTATGACAGACCATTGTGCAACCATTAAAGCTGACGCTTTTGAAATACCTTTTTTTTTTTTTCTTGAGATGGAGTCTCACTATGTTGCCCAGGCTGGAGTGCAATGGCACAATTCTGGCTCACTGCAACCTCAGCCTCCAGAGTAGCTGGGATTACAGTCGCCCGCCACCAAGCCTGGCTAATTTTTGTATTTTTAGTAGAGACAAGGTTTCATCATGTTGGCCAGGCTGGTCTTGAACTCCTGACCTTAAGTGATTCGCCCCTGCCTCAGCCTCCCGAAGTGCTGGGGTTTACAGGCGTGACCCACCATGCCCAGCTGAAATATATATATATTTTTGAGACACAGTCTTGCTCTGTCATCCAGGCTGGAGTGCAGTGGCATGATCTTGGCTCACTGTAACTTCTGCCTCCCGGTTCAACCAGTTATCTGCCACAGCCTCCCAAGTAGCTGGGATTGCAGGCGCGTGTCACCACACCCAGATAATTTTTGTATTTTTAGTAGAGACGGGGTTTCACCATCTTGGCTAGGCTAGTCTTGACCTTGGCTAGGCTAGTCTTGAACTCCTGACCTCATGTTCTCCCTGTCTCCCAAAGTGCTAAGATTACAGGCGTAAGCCATCACGCCTGGCCAAAATATCTTTAATTATATACTTACTGTTAGGTGAAAAAGACAGTGTATGAGGTGTGATTCCAGTATGCACACACACAGTGAACAGACAAGGCAAATACGTCAGAATCTTAACATTTATCCCTGGCATTGGGACTGATTTTTGCTTTTGTCTTTATCTCTTAGTTATGTTAACATATAAGGTTTTTATTATTCTTAAATGAATATTTTAAAAATGTCTTAGCTTTAATTTCTCATATAGCAAACATCAATAGACATAACCCACATTAACAAAACCTCTTTGGAGTTCTATTTGTAAGGATGTCTGAGACCAAAAGGTATAAGGAATGCTGGCTTAGAGAGTTGGAATCTAAACCGAGGCCGTCAATCCCAGCCCCTGTAAAATACTAGACAAAAACAATCCAGAGACACATCTAGAGAAAATGAAAAACAAAATCATAACAAAATAATAAAAACATAGTAAACATTAAACAACTCTAAGGATGGCACCTGGTGGTCCCTAACAGCCTCTCCAGGCTTGTGGAAATGAGTCACATTCAGGAGCCGAGACCTCCAACCCAAGGTCTGGAGGCCATTTCTGAACCTCAAACTCCAAAAGAAGTTTGGGCACACTGGTTTTAACAGTAAGTTTTTGTATTTCTTTTTCCTGTCTGTTGAAAACACATTCAAGTTGCCTCAAGGGGTGAAAGGAAGCCAGAGGTATCCTCCAACCATCCTCAACGCTGTCTTTCAGGAGAGGCCGCATCCCTAGCTGTCTCCCTCTCAGAGGCGGGCCCAAGCACAGCATGCCACAGCTGTTCCACATGGACAGCGTGCTTTCTGCTCCTTCCCTGCTAAAACTGAAGCTAAGAGTTCACAGACCCGTAAAATACTTAGACTTTGATAGACCAAAACCTGCAAGTATGCTCAAGAGGATATAAATAACCAAGTTTACAATCCTTATGTTTTTGTTCCTGTTATCTCCCCTATCTACCTCTGAATTCAGCGAACTTTGACACTCATAACTAAGGTCCAGGAAGGAAGAGAAAAGTCACCACCCTATGGTATTTAGGGACACAGCGGGTGTCAGCATCTCCATTCCCCAGGGCTCTGGCCCGTGATGTGGCCCAGGGGTCACACTGCTGAACGCTAAGTATGGACTAACAGCTGTTACTTTATTACTTGGAAAAGCAAGAAGGCCCTGAAAATCCCCCCTCTTCCCGGTTACTTGGTTAAGGGTCCATGTTCTTTGCTCATTCATACTTGAAGTCTCACTCTGTTGCCCAGGCTGGAGTGCAGTGGTGTGATCTTGGCTCACTGCAACCTCCACCTCCTGGTTCCAGCGATTCTCATGCTTCAGCCTCCCCAGTAGCTGGGATTACAGGTGCGTGCCACCACACCTGGCTAATTTTTTTTGTATTTTTAGTAGAGATGGGGTTTCGCCATGTTGGCCAGGCTGGGTTGGCCAGGCAGATCTCGAACTGACCTCAAGTGATCCACCCACCTTGGCTTCCCAAAAGTGCTGGGATTTCAGGTGTGAGCCACTGTGCCCAGCCTGGTTCATTCATACTTGACATAAATCCAAAAGAAGGCCACCCCTGCATGATCTTCAAGAGCCTCTGGAAAACTCTAGTTTAACCCTAGGAAGGAGAACGGCTCACCTCTGGCATGATCTCGATCTTCTCGTACCGGCGTTTGAAGGGCAGGGCGAGGACCTCGGCCCGCCGATAGGACATGGCAGGGGGCTGGCAGTCGATCATGAGGTCCATCCTGTGGGACTGGGCTGGGGGCGGCTGGGTGTACTGCTCGGGACACACCACATGCAGGGGCTGAGGAACCAATGGGACAGGCGAGAAAGGAGGTGTGAAGTACAGTGGCCCCTGCAGAAGGCCCATTCCTGACCCCGATCCACTCCCCACCATCACAGGCTCACCACCTCCAGGCCAAGGTGAACTTTCATCCTCTCAAGCCCAATGAACCGTAGAGAGCAGAGGGAACGTGAAGGCACTGGGGCAGAAGAAACATCTCAGAAACCCCTAAGCTGCCTCAGCTTGCATTTGTTTTCGTTTTTTTCACTGTTTACGTAAGTTTCATGGTAACTTCCATGTGTCTGCTCCCAACAGTCTCTGGGCTTCCTGGGGGCACGGTCTTTCTAAAACATTCCCACATGTCTGCTTTTATAAGCTCTTGGCCAATTACCAGGCGCTGTGGGTTCGGAGTTTCTGCTGGATGTGCAGGTCGACTGGTATTAGGCAGTGGACACTGCTCAGGTCATATGCTCACTGTGTACGACCAAGCAGCAGAGGCAGAGGGTTTTTTTTTTTTTTAACAAAATGTCCCTTGAGAAAAAAAGATAAGTAAACCAATTTTTACTTTGCACAAATATCACCCAAATGAAAAGGAATGCTGGCAGCCCACAGGGGCACTGTGTCTTCCCCGCTTCTACTTAAGAGCTCGGACCAAGCCCTGAATTCCCTGATGAATACGGCTTTCCACCAGGCTGACCGGGCTGAGCTTCCAAAAGCACCTGTTCCTTAGGGCTAATACTTTTCTCCTTCGAACTGCCCTTTGCTCCTCTTCTTGACCTGTCTCAAAGCATATCATGCCACAGTTGCAGCCTGATGGCTTCTCCCAGGTTTTCCTCGCCTAAAGTGGAGACCAGGTGGCCTCCAGTTTCCAGGATTAGCACCTGACAGGGGGGCCAAGAGCTGGTTTAGGGACTGGGATTTGCAGTTAATGAGAAGCAACACGCCCTTCCCTTCACCGCTGCTTCTAACGTGGATGAGCACACAGTGGGGTAGCGAATCACTGCAGACAGGCTCCACGTTTGCCGTCTGCTCTCATCATGCCTAGAGAGCGCCAATATTCTTTCTTTGTTGGGCAAGCACATTAATAATCACCAGAATCCGCTCCTGGGGCTCTCCAGGGGTTCTCCGCTTTCTCTGTTTCTTGTTCTCCTGTCTTAGAGTTTTGTGACACAGCTCTCTCATCCAGAGGCCGAAGGTGCTGTGCTGGGCCCCTCGGCCCTCATCTCCCTCCTGGGAACACCAGGGAGTGGAAAGGGAGAGCTCTTCCTCGCCGGTGGCAGCTGTCCTCCTTGCCAATTCCAGTGCCTCTCCCGACTCTCAAGAGCCAGAAACCCAGCGAGCAGTGGCCGAGCCAGCACAGTGGTTCCGTGGCCCTGCCTTCCTGCTACACGCTCCTCCTGTGCGCGGATTCTCCTGGTCTACACTGTACCCCAGCTACTTCTCCCCTTTCTCCAGGGCAGAAAATGTGAAGTGAAACAAATGACCAAAAACTACCACAAAACCCAAACCCAACAGCACTGTTTGTGGTACCAGCCTACAGGTGTGACATGGCCCCAGGACGTGTTTCAATTAAACTGTCTCAGCTTAGTGAATATGTTTCTAGAATGACTCTTTTTGGCAGGGGTGAGAGGATTTGCTTTTAAGCGGACACAGATGGTTTTCTTTCCCTTCCACTTCTGATTTCTTTAGAATGGAAACTGCTGTCAGGGTGTAAAGACCACTCCTTTTCAGTGTGGAGGGGGGCTGGCCTGTGTCCCAGCATTCCGTAGATGCGTGAGAACTGAAGACAAGAATCAAATGCAGCCTCTCTCCCTTCACCCCACACAAGCATGAGCCACACCAAGGTGACATGACTATGTGAAGGCACAAGCAGTGGCCTTCATTACCTGCACTTCTTTAAGCAGCTTTGACACCTGGATGAAGTTCAGCCGGGTGTCGATGGGGCAGTAGATGCATTTCATGGCCAGCGGCTGGTAAGGAGCCAGGGCTTCCAGGTAGGAGAAGTCTGGTTCTACGGAAAGTACAAGAAAGAAATCTTACAATGCAGACTACACAGGAGCTGCCGAGCCAGGCGGCGGCTGGGGCGCTGAGGGCCCAGAGGGCCCAGAGACAGCCAGGGGGTTGGGAGGGAGCCAGGAGGCACACATGGGGGGGGGGACGGAGGTCAAAGGGGCCCCGTGGAAGGAGGGGCAGGCTGGGATGGACCCTGTGGGTGGGCTCCAAGCTTCAGCAGAGGCAGATGAGGTAAATGAGGGAGAAATAACGTATGTGGGGGAGAAAAGAAAGCTCTTCTTTACAACGAAATGCCAAGAAACAAACGATGAAATAAAAACCAAAACCACCATTTGGCAACCATTACAGTTCACCACTTATTCAGATGAGAATCATTAATAAATGCTAAAAATATTAGATACCATTTTGAGGGAGAACAGGTATATACATAGTTTCAAAGAGTCCCCCACAAGGTACTGATTTAATACAATGAGAAAAACAGTGACTTCACAGTGGAGAGGACTGGCATAGACCCCGGGACCCTAGAATCAGCTCCGAGTTAACGCCCAGGTGTGAGATGCACCCAGGAGACAAGTGCACAGCCCCACCCCCAGGCCCATGAATGGTCTGTAGACTGAGACTGCGATGCTCCCCAGCAGGCCCAGCCCCTCTGACCAGGAAGAGTCCTCGCCCACTGCTCGGCCCAGCCGGTCTCCTGAGGGCTGCTGCAGCCTGCTTGGCAGGAAACATTCCCCCAGCTCGAGGGAGCTACCCGCCTTGAGCCAAAAGACCTCGCTCGGTCCTAACTGATGTGTGCTTTGATTCCCAGTGCAGTCTGCCCAGTGACGAGGGACCCTGGCCTAGGCACACTGGACACACACACGTCCCCACTGTTGTCAGGACAAACTGGCAGAGCTGCCAGGTACGTAAACGCCCATTCCAGTGGATCGTGCTTCTCTGAGAATACTGACCCCCTTTTCATGTATCCAGGAGTCACAAAACAATAAAAAAAAGGTGGCCCCAACCTCTCCCTGACACAGCTTCTGCCCTGGAAGCTCCATACACCAGTTTAAATGCAAACCCGTTACCCAGAGTTGTCACGGGAAATCACACAGTCCTAATTTCCTTTTAGCTGAAGAAACATTTGTACTAAAGCCAGGTTACCTACTGTGCTGTGTAGGTGCTGTCACCACTGTCATGTCAAATGTCAAGAGTCACCACTCAGCAGCAGGAGCAGGAGACACCAACCTCAGCCCCCACTACGTAGGACATTCTCTGGACAACCTCCTGATTAATGAAATCCTGGCAGCTATGAAGTTCGAAGTTCTGGGTGTTGTGAATCAATACCTTGTGGCCCAACTTCCTCCATCGTTAGCTGAAAGTGGGCCTGAGAAGGGGAAAGCAGTCCTGGTGACCGGGCCTCTCCTGGCACTTTCTGCCTGGCCTGGTATCAGCAAGAGCCGGGCTGGCACCCACAGCAAAGCCATGTGTCCTCCTGCTGTGTGAACGCAACTTCCTGGAACACCAACACCTTGACTGACAATGATGGATCCGGCCAAAGACAAGACCCCTCCGTAATCATCCTGAACGCGGAACACAGAACCGTCCTGGCCACAGCAGGAGCAAACAGCCCGCTATGCCGGCTCCGCTCTTCCTGGGTTCTAGATAAGAATGAGTTTAGAAACCCATCGCAGAATGACCCTGTATCCTGATGCCACCCAATACAGGGTGACGCCTCACCTCCGTGAACACCCGGGCATCACCGAATACCAGCCTGACTCCTACAAGGTCTTTTTACCTTGCTTTTACCCATGCTGTGTGTTCCCCTTGCTGAAATGAGGCAATAAACCCAACTTGGTTTGACCACAGGCATGTTCCTGGTGGCCTCTAGGTCACAAACAGAGGCTGGGGGAAGGGCCGAAGTGTCCCTGACCCCCATGCTTCTGATGTAACTGGACTCCCTCCTCCAAACCCAGCCCCTAAAGCTAGGAAGGGAGGTGGTGACGATGATTTCCCAACAGCTGCCACGTGCCGGGTGATGTGCCTGGTGCCCAGAGTGACCCACAGAGGTAGCTACTGACAGTCCCATTTACCGTGGGGACAGTCATGCTTGCTGGTGAATTGGCTGAAGTCACTGCAAGCTGGGCCAGATTTCAAATCAAGGTTTTTTTTTTTTTTTTTTTTTTAAAAACTTCATAGCCTGTAAGATTTCTAAAACCCAAGGCCGACTGAAGATCCTAACCCATGGGTGTCCAAGCTTTTGGCTTCTTTGGGCCACATTGGAAGAAGAACTGTCTTGTGCTACACATAAAATACACTAACACTAATGACAACTGATGAGCTAAAAAAAAAAAAAGGTCTGTGCATAATTTCCATGATATCCCCCATCACAGATAAGCAAAAAGGTCCTAGCATTCAAAGGGCTGGGCGCGCTACACTGATAAAAATGATATAGTGATTATCTACGTAAACTCTCTACTTGACCTTACCAAAGGAATTTTTTCCCCTGAGGGATTTGTCTCCAGAAGAAAATCCATAGCTAGAGTAAACTACAATCAGAAGAGAAAGATCTACCTCTGTAAACAATCCCTAACAGGTAAAACAAGATCGGTTACTGAATCACTGCAGTTCTTGAAATGGCTCATGATATCCTAGCAAAAAGCACTCAGTAGGATTCTGTCTTGGAGAAATCTGAAAACAGGCATGAAGGCCTTGCTGGATGCCCAGCTGTCCAATGGCACACGCTGCTTCACTCTTTCTCTGTGATTTCTTCATTCTTTGGAACCTATAGTAGAACACTGTTCGTATTTATGCCTCACTGCAAAATCCTTCCCTGGGTCTCTACCTTGTAGGTGCATTCACTCATGGCCTCAGTGGAGAGAACCGTTTTGTTTCTTTATTTTTTTCACTTACCCGTGAATATGACGGTGTTGAGACTAGATTTTCCCCAGAGCTCCATGAAGTGGACCACGTCCCCGAAGCGGAGGGAAGGGTGCCCGGTGAACACCACACAGGGCTGTCTGAAGTCGTTGCTGAAGTCTCCGTGGATGCTGGGGTAGTGCTTCAGCTTATTGGTCTGAATGAGCTGGAAAATATAGAAAAAGTACGCAGAGATGTGAGCCTGCCCAGGCTGAAGGGGCAACCAAAGTACGGGAGGGTGAGCGGGACTGGATCTAAAATACCAACAAAGAAGACAAGCCACGGATTGGGAGAAAATGTCTGCAAAAGTCACACTGAGAGAGGACTGTGACCCAAAATGTATGCACTCCGAAACCCCAGCAAAAAGAAATGAACAACCCTACTAGAAAGTGGGCAAAAAACCTGAACAGACACCTCATCAGAGAAGACAGATGGCCAACTAGCATATGAAAAAATGCTCCATACCCTATGTCATTAGGAAACCGCAAATTAAAATGACGAGATACCACTACACACCTATTATAATAGAATGGCTAAAATCCAGAACACTGACAGCACCAAATGCTGACAAGGATATGGAAGAACAAGGACTGTCATTCACTGCTGGTGGGAACGCAAAATGATACAGCCACTTTGAAAGATATTTTGAAAAATTATGTCCACAAGAAACCTGCACATGAATGTCCTAATTGCTAACACTTGGAAACAACCAAGATGTCCTTCAGCAGGTGAATGACAGAACTGTGATGCATCCAGACAATGGAATATTATTCAGCACTAAAAAAGAAATGAGCTACCAAGCTATGAAAAGACATGGAGGAACCTATTCCTAACTGAAGGATGCCACTCCGAAAAGGCAAGGCCCCTATGATTCCAACTGTATGACATTCTGGAAAAGGCAAAACTATACAGATAGTAAAAAGCCCAGCAGTCATCAGGGATTCGTGGAGGGTGAAATGAACAGGCCAAGCATAGAGGATTTGCGGAGCGAGGAAGCTGCTCTGTGTGATGATGTAATGGTGGATCCGGGTCACTGTTCATTCGTCCAAAACCACAGAAAGCACAACGCCAAGAGGAACCCCTAATGTACACTCTGGGCTTTGGGTGATGGTGACGTGTCAATGTGGGTTCACCAGCTATAGCAAATGCACCTCTCTGGTGTGGGATGGTGCAGTGGGCAACTGAGTGTGTGGGGCAGGGGCATATGATTGCAGTGAACCTAAAACTGCTGTGAAAAGTAATATTTATTAATTTAAAAAAATACAAGTGGATCTTATTAAAATAGTTTTTACCTAGAATGTGATTTCTGGAACACCTGGGCAAGTCAAGTCTTTCTAGTAATACTGACATACTTCCTGGAAACTGATTCAGATTGTTATGGCTTGATTTAGCTGGACTCTTCCTTTATAAACTGCCTGACACTCCCTGCCGGGCCTGAAGTTCTCATTATCACTTTTTGTTTGAAGTACAAGTGACTTTCCCAACACTCGTTAGTCACCAAGTAGTGGCGACAATAAACACATCTGTCACACCAGAAACACTGTTTACCAGTACAGGACCTCCTCCTGTGAAGCTAGAGGTTTAAGCTACTGCAGCAACTGCATAAGAACCAAGACCAAAGACTCTATTTTCTGGGATCATTTCTGTTGTCTGCTACTAGAGAAGCTTCTCTGTGTACAGCATGTGGATGTGTGTGTGCACATGCGCACATGCACACACACGCACATATGCACACACATGCGCACATGCACACACACGCGCACACATGCACACGCACACACGCACACACACGCACACACACGCACACATGCACACATGCGCACATGCACACACACGCACACACATGCACACACACGCACACATGCACACACACGCACACGCACGCACACGCGCACACGCGCACACGCGCGCACACGCGCACGCACACGCGCACACATGCACACACGCACACATGCACACAGGCACACACACGCACACATGCACACAGGCACACACATGCACACATGCACACGCACACAGGCACACATGCACACAGGCACACACACGCACACATGCACACACACACGCACACGCACACATGCACACATGCACATGCACACAGGCACACACATGCACACAGGCACACACATGCACACACACATGCACACACACGCACACATGCACACACACATGCACACACACGCACACAGGCACATGCATGACAAAGATCAAACTGGCTTTTAGAAATGTGATGTCCTCGTAACACACACAGTTATATTATATAACAAACAGCGGCCAGGCATAATGGCTTACGCCTGTAATTCTAGCACTTTGGGAGACCAAGACAAGAGGATTGCTTGAGCCCAGACGTTTGAGACCAGGCTGGGCAACAAAGCAATACCTCTCTACAAAAAAATAAAAGAAAGTTAGTTGGATACTGTGGCTAGAGCCCAGAAGTTCAAGGCTGCAGTAAGCTATGACTGCAACACTGTATCCCAGCTTGGGTAACTGAGACCCTGTCACTAAAAAAAAACACAAATTAAAAAAACAAAAAACAAAAAACCAGCACTTTGGGAGGCAGATCACAAGGTCAGGAGATCGAGACCATCCTGACTAACATGGTCAAACCCTGTCTCTACTAAAAATACAAAAAAATTAGCTGGGCGTGGTGGCGGGCGCCTGTAGTCCCAGTTACTCAGGAGGCTGAGGCAGGAGAATGGCGTGAACCCGGGAGGCGGAGCTTGCAGTGAGCCGAGATCGCGCTATTGCACTCCAGCCTGGGCGACAGAGTGAGATTCTGTCTCAAAAAAAAAAAAAAAAAAAAAGCAGGTAGCTCGCAGCCTCAAAGCGTTCTTTCAAGTGTATGTTTTGAACCAAGAGTCACCCCTGCGGCACAACACTTGACAATCATCTCCCAGTGCCAGGCCCATTCAAGGCAACAACAAAGACACTTACGAGTAGATGGCATCTTGTAACGTCTCAGACACTGTGCCTGCCGCCCAGGCTTCCTCGCCCCACCCCAGTATCCAGAGGGCAGACACCCAGACTTCACAGACCCTAAATATCAACCAGGCCAAAGGAAGCACTGCTCTGGGAGGCTGTTTCATGGATAAAGCAATGGCCTGTGATAGGCTCAATCCTGTGGCCACACGTGGTACATGAGAGGGCCCTGGCCAACACCTTGAAGTGCAAATGAAGTCACCCTAAGAGTGGGGATGTGGTCAGAATGGGACACACCCCAAACAGAAGCCAAACTGTCTTCACCTTGAAGACCTCATCTTTAATTAAAGAGACCTGGTTGTATTATGAAGACACTAACACTATCCCGGAGATCTTTATCAGCTGTCGCATGCTTGGATGGAATATGAATAGTAAAGCCGGAGCAAACATCAAATTCCCACTTTCCTTCCAGGTAGTCTGCAAGTCAAACTGACATTCTTTTTTATAACCTATATGGCCAAAATCATTAACTGTCTCAGTTAAATGGGTGAGTGGCTGTCAAAAGGAGTCTATTGTATCCAGAGATGTCAAGATGATGAATGTGATTCTAAGAATAGCAGCAGGTCTCTGCACACTTAAGTCACTTTTAAGCATTATCTATAGTTCCTGTAGCTCTACTGATCAATGCATAGAAACTAAGATAAATTCATCATTTTTTGCCAATTGGATCTACCTTTCTAGCCAACTTACTGCATCTGACCAGCGGAAATGAAGCTGTGGGGCAGGAATTCTGGACAGTAATTTGTTACCAGTACTAAGGGCAGAACCATCGTTTCTCATGCGCAATGGTAACAATACCAAGGGTCGACTCCCTCGTGCCCTAACAATGACAGGTGCACCTGAGGAACCCTGATAGTGCGACCAGTCTACTCACATTCCTAACTCTAAGTGGCACCAGGTCATCTGTGACAGGTGCGTAAGTGAGAATGTGATCACGCTCCTAGGAAACAAGCTCTACAGCAAGGCTGACTGCAAAGGAAGCAAAATAGACTTTCAAAAGCAAAGTCCACCACAAGATGTTTTGCCACACTTAATTTTCTGACATTTTAATAATATTTCTAGCCTGTATTTCACTATGGCATTGACACAGCTTGCAAAAACCCTGGCTGCTGAAATACTATTTAGACTACTGCAACCAAAAACTAACTTCTTCAAAACCTTCTACTTGGCATCCTGGTTCACTTATAAGACCTCTCCTTTACAGTATGAAAACAGTAATTACATTTAAAGTAATTAGCAGGACATTTGTTGAAATACGTGTTAAATAGTTAACTCTAAAACAAAACTCTAAAACTAAATTCCTAAACGTATCTATCTGCACTGACATGCTCTATGTAAAAACAGTCTATCTGCCTTAGTTGAAGAAAGGTTATAATTTTGACAAAGAAATGAGTGGGGAGATAATCACAGTTAACATGGATGTATTGTAACAGTACACTCATCAAAAGCAGCAAATGAACACTGACACAATACTGCCCCCTCTCATCTACATGCCCCATTCAGACTTTACCAACTGTTATCAATGCTCCTAATAGCAAACAAACAAGACAACAAACAAGTTCTTCCATTTCCAGATCCAGCCCATGGCCATGAAGTGCATGTATCTGCCACAACTCTTCATTTTCTTGGCAGTTCCTCAGTCTTCCCTTGTCCCCTAGGTCTCCGGCATTCTCGAAGGGTACAGATCAGTTATTTTGTTGAGCATCATCAACTTGGGTCTGAATGCTCATTAGATTCAGGTGAGGCATTTTTAGCAGCAGGATCACAGAAATCATGCTGTTTTCTCAATAATTTGCACTAAGAGCCATGCAGTGTCAATTAGTCCAATTACTGGTGATGTTAACGTTGATTGCATATGTCAAGTTTGTCCAAACTCCAGTTACTATTTCTCTCTTTAAACATGAATTTTGTGGGGACACACTTTTTGGGACTATAAATGCTCTAGTTCTTCATACAATTTTTACTTGTTGGTTTTAGCACCCACTGGTGTTTCTTGCAGGAATAAATTATAACTGTGGTGGCTGCCAAATGGTGATTTTCTAATTCTAAGATTCTTTCCTACATTAATTATGTAAGTTTACTGTTGGAAGAACTCTCCCTTCTTGCCTACGTACTCAGTTACTTCACTATGGATGCGGGAGTTTCTGTTATTCAATGGATTATATTCATTACTAGCATTATTTATTTTGATGTTCCAGTGATCTCAGATGTGGCTTCTGACCCACCATTCTCTGAGCACACAGCAAGATCTTTCAGCCTCATGTTGTATTTTCCAAAGAGGCCTGGTTCCTTTTAGTGGAGAATAGTATCTAGAAACAGCATCTGGGAGTTAAATGTGTTCTTCAGTTAGTGGCATGTAACTCTCCCAGGCCCTCTCTCTGGCCAGAGTTGGAAGATACGTATGTGCACACACGCACGCATACACACACATGCACAAGTGTATTTCTCTCTGTGTCTGTCTACATATATTGAAAATAGGAGTTCACACCAATACCATCAATTCTATCCAACAGCACAGGATTCATTCCGGCCTTCGCTCTTTCCTTATATCTAACTCTGTACACCTTGATGGATTTTTTACAAGGTGAGCACATGTACATCAAGAAATAAAGCATTACTAGCTCCTCAGAAATCCCTCTTTGTCCCCTTCCTGTCACTACTGTCCCCTCCCCTCCAGGATCACTACCACACTGGCATCTAATACCACAGATTAGTTTATTGTATTCAAAACACAATAAACTAATTTTATATAATAAAATCATACCATATCTACTCTTTTAGATCTGGATTTTTCACTCACATTATGTTTGTGAAGTTTATCTACACTGCATGTAATTGGAGCTTATTTGTTCACAGTGATGTAAGGTATTGTGTGATTATACCACAAAATCTATTCTATTGTTGATGGGCAGTTGAGTATATTTCAGTACTATTACCAAAAAGTTTAGTTTTTTTTTTTTTTAAAGACAGGGTCTTGCTCTGTCACCCGGACTGGTGTGCAGTAGCACGATCACAGTTCACTGCAGCCTCAAACTCCCTTGGCTCAGGTGATCCTCCCACCCCAGCCTCTAGGGTAACTAGAACTACAGGCATGCGCCACCACACCCGGCTAATTTTTTGTATTTTTTTGTAGAGACAGGGTTTTGCCATGATGTCAAGGTTGGTCTCAAATTCCTGGCCTCCAGTAATCCTCCCACCTCAGCCTCCCAAAGTGTTGGGATTACAGCTGTGAGCCACCACACCTCACCAAATTCTAGATCTGTGTGTGTGTCTTTTGGTAACATCTCTATGCATTTCTGTTCGATGTATACTTTAGGAACAAAACTGCTGAGGCATAGAGTACATTGTTCAGCTTTAGCAGATACTGTCAGTTTTCTTTTTTTTTTTTGTTTTTGAGACAGAGTCTCCGTCTGTCGCCCAGGCTGGAGTGCAGTGATGCAATCTTGGCTCACTGCAGGCTCCACCTCCCAGATTCATGCCACTCTCCTGCCTCAGCCTCCCGAGTAGCTGGGACTACAGGCGTCCGCCACCATGCACGGCTAATTTTTTTGTATTTTTAGTAGAGACGGGGTTTCACCGTGTTAGCTAGGATGGTCTCGATCTCCTGACCTCGTGATCCGCCCGCCTCAGCCTCCCAAAGTGCTGGGATTACAGGCATGAGCCACCACGCACGGCCGAAACTGTCAGTTTTCTAAGGTGGTGATACCAATTTAGACAACCTTTGAGTGAAAATATAACCAAAAAGAGGAGTAACTATTGTGTGTTAGCTTCATGGTAGTAGAGCAACAATAACATGAAACACAGAAAAATGTTCATAATATACCCTTGGGTGAGAAGAATCTGACAACAAAGCTGGGTATTCAGCTACACAGAAAACACCCATTTGTTCTGTGAGGGAGGAAGAAGCCTTTAGTTTTTGAACTGAAATGTTATTTTCATCATTAAAAATGTACATATATGACTGACATAACTGGGAAGAACACTCTGCCAATACATAAACCCAATTCAAAAAGGTAGTAGTATGTATCAAAATAAAATTCCTTATGCGGTCAGTAGAACAGAAGCAGGCTATGAATTGCATGAACATAGTACAGGCTAAGCATCCCTAATCCAAAATGTTCCAGAATCTGAACTTTCTGGGCACCAACATGATGCTCAAAGGAAATGCTCACTGGAGCTTTTTGATTTCACACTTTCAAATTTGGGATGCTCAACCAGTAAGTATATTCCCAAATCCCAAGTCTGAAACAATTCTGGGGCCCCCAGCATTTCGGGGAAGGGCTGCTCCACGTGTGCAACAGAAAGTGTTAATAGAAGGAAAACAAGTGAAGCTTGAGTTAAAATACTTCCCTGCGTTTGACTTGGGAGGCAGAGGGGTCTACAGGTTTACTGGGGGTCTGCTGTGTCTCACGACCTGCTGCCTGCATCTGCATCAGGTTACCCACACTGCTTCCTTTCCATGTCCCAGTGATTTTGTTTTCTTACCTCTGCATGAGGAAAAGGTGGTTCTGGAAGATACACCTTACTCTGTTTGTTGTGACAAAGCCTATTAAAGAGGAAAAACACAGCAGCATGTGAGGAGGAGTACACGGTGGCATCTGTTGCCACCTAGAGGCAGCAGTGCAAATATTAAATACTGAAATTTATTAAAAATTTCCTGCCAGCGAATTTCCCCGTGAATGAAAGGCAGTGCCTACAGAGCACAGACATATCTTGTATTTTTTTAAACTTTAGAAAATTTCTCAATACGTTTTTTATTAAAATATAAACTTGTTATTTTGGAATAATTTTAGATTTAAAGAAAAGCTGCAAAGACAGTACAGAGTTCCCATGTCCCCTTCACCCTATGTCCCCAGAGTTAACATCTGATATGACTGGCACAGTCATCAACTAAGAAATTAACATCAAGACGTGACAATCAACTAAACTCCAGACTTCATTCAGATTTCACTCGTTTTTCAATTCATGTCCCTTTTCTGTTCCAGGATCCAATCCAAGATACCACAGTGCATGTAGCTGTGATCAATTTCACAAAGAAAGTGATCTACACCTTGAGACATGGCTTCTGTTTTTGTCTATGTACTCTTTTTTTTTTTTTTTTTGAGACAGAGTTTTGCTCTTGTTGCCCAGCTGGAGTGCAATGGCGCAGTCTCGGCTCACTGCAACCTCTGCCTCCTGGGTTCAAGCGATTCTGCTGCCAAAGCCTCCCAGGTAGCTGGGATTTCAGGCTACAGGCACCCGCCACCATGCTTGGCGAATTTTTGTATTTTTAGTAGCGACGGGGTTTCACCATGTTGGCCAGGCTGGTCTTGAATTGTTGACCTCAGGTGATCTACCCGCCTTGGCCTCCCAAAGAGCTGGGATTACAGGCGTGAGCCACTGTGCCTGGCCCACACACTCTTTTTAACAGCAGCATTGTTAACTCCAACTAGAGAAGAACAAAGGATCGTGGGCTAGAGACACTGAATGTTTTTGGTAATTTACGTTTGCTTTTTCCTAGTCAGTTATGACTTTACAATACTGAGATGTCTGGATAAAGCAAATGTGGCAAAAAGTTTAGTTGATAAATCAATATATGTGAGTGTTGTGCAGGTTTGACATTTAAAAAACTGTCCTACTTAGAGGGGAGGAGCTCAGGGCTTCAGGGCTTGGATTTTGTATTAATACATTGTATCTAATTTTTCCTACCCTTAGTTTCATTTAACTGTGGTTTAAAAAAATCACTGTATACCCTACTTGGAAGATATAAATATGGAAGAGCAAGATGCTTTTGGAGGGTTACCTTATATTATCTAAATAGATACTAGTTCCGTCTTTACTTCTAGCTCAGAGAGACAAACATAAAGTGCTTGGTTCTAAACTTATTTTTATTGTTCCAAAGGACCTTATCCTACATCCATTAAAGGCAGAGATTAGGGATACCGAAGAGATTACAATATGATTAGAGATTGTGAAGCCCATCTACATAACACTTAGGCCAGTTCTGCTAACAGATCCTTCATGCTCTGCTCTAGAATCTTCATGCAGGCACAGCAGACAGCAACCCACCCCCTTTCTAAGACAGAGGTTGAAGGACCTGATTAGAGTTTGCTTCTTCTGGGGGTAGCTGCTGGAGTTCAAAAGGAGATCTGTGTATACCAGATTATCAGAAGAGTGAAGAATAAATGATGCTTCCAGGATCATCTCTAATTGGGAATGTGACAGACCCTCCTGCTCCCTGATGGCCGGACCTCAGGTACCACACACTCTTCCACTGCTTGTTCAACAAAGGATCAGAGCCAGGCGCTGTGGCTCAGGCCTGTAATCCCACCACTCTGGAAGGCCAACGTGGGTGGATCACTTGAACCTAGGAGTTTGAGACCAGCCTGGGCAACATGATGAAATCTCGTCTTTACAAAAATTAGCTGGGCATGATGGTGACACCTGTAGTCCCAGGTACTCAGGAGGCTGAGGTGGGAGGATTGCTTTGAGACCAGGAGGTTGAGGCTGCACTGAGCCGTGATCGTGCTATTGCACTCCAGCCTGGGTGACAGACTGAAAGCCTGTCTCAAAAACCAACCAACCAACCAACCAACACTCCAAACCCCACAAAAGATCAGAGAGGTCTGTCAAGAGCTATTCCCTCCCATCTCCATCCCCTGCAAAAACAAAACCAACCCAAACAACCAAGCCTCTTAGCTTGGAGCAGGGACAGACACTGGATAGCAAGGGGCTGGGCTTCTGCAGGCATCAAAGCAGGACCATGCAGAAGCCAGAGCAGAACCCATGAGAATGGGAAACACAGAGCCAGGGAACCAGAGTGGCAGGGAGTAAGCCCAGGACAGCAGGCCGGGCCTGAGGCTGAGCACAGAGCAGCCAGGCTGTGAGGCACCCATTCAGAACACCAAAGAGGAGAGGAAGCCAAACGTCAGAACAGGCTGTGGTGGTCCTGGCGTAGGGGCCTGGGACTTGCTAAGTTAATGCAAGTCTGGAGCTAGCAGCTATCCATTTTGGTAACTAAGTTCCTTATTTAGGGAGAAAGGGTGCTTTTCAGCAAGGCTGCATGAAAGAGAACAGCACAGTGAAACAGAAATACAGAGAAATCTCCCAGGCTCAAAGATTCCCCTGCCTCAGCCTTCAGTAGCTGGAACTACGGACATGCACCACCATGCCCTGCTAATATTTTAATCTTTTGTGGAAATGAGGTCTTGCTATGTTGCTCAGGCTGATCTTGAATTCCTGGTCTCGAGCAATCTTCCCGTCTTGGCCTCCTAAAGTGCTGGGGTTATAGGTGTGAGCCATCCTGACTGGCCTCTTTCTACTTCTTTAACTATTTGTCTTCACACTTTTCCTAAATATTTGTTCTCTACCGACCCCCAAAATGCAGGCATTACTTAAGTCCATCCTTTTCCCACTGCCTGTTCTTCTAACCTGAAATCCTCTCCCCAGGCAATCCCATTCATTCTTGTGGCAATCCCAGCCACTCACAACTACCTCAATGCTGAGGACACCCAACCTGTGACTCCAGCCTGGGCTTCTCAGATCTTTGAACTGGGCAAGTTTCACCTGTACATCCCCTGCCTCAGGCACCGTGAATGCCCTCAGGGACAAAACCAAACTAAGCTAACCATCCTTGCTGTATGCACCTACCCTTCCCTTATAGAATCTATTTTGTTTGGGGTCAACACGATCTACCACACTAGAAATTGCAGTGTCAATCTCGATTGCTACCATTTCTGTGTCAAGTAACCAGTAAGTACTGCCCGTTGTATTTCCTCATCGCCTCTCAAATTGGTTCCTGCCTTCCTTTCCTCCATGATGGTAGAGACTGGAGTCTTCTGTCCCTCAGCCTCTGCAAAGACTATTGTCTTATACTTCAGTTTCACCCACTCCCACCACCCCCAACAAACTTCACATAAATGCAGAAGGCTCTATATAAAATGCACATATAATCATGTTCATTTCCTGCTTAAAATCCTCCAATGAATCCCTACCATGGACAGGATCCCTCTAGCCTCATACCCTGCCACTCCCCACCCTGAACTTCATACTGAAACAATAAAGAACTATGGATAGTTCTCTGAACGAACCAAACCATTCAAACCTCCCCTCTATGTCTTGGCCTGTGTTATCCTCTTGACCCACACTATCACCCCCAGCAGCCCACCCAGCTCATCCTTAAGTAGGGTTTCTGTCTGGCTGATTCTTGGTCATTCTTCAGGAGCACCTCCTTCCAGAATGCCTTTCTTAAACCCCCAAATGGGGTCACCACCCCTTCTCTGAATACCATACACATATACATAGGTGTATGCGTGGGTATGTGTGTATATATCTCCATCAGATTATTTCCAAGTGGTAAGAGGTTTACACAGCTGCCTCTTCCTTCATGGTACACATTCCTCAAGGTCAGGGACCTCTTTGTATCCTCAGTGCTTTGGCACTTAAAGGTTTATGGACTGAACTAAATACAACTACAGATGGAAACAAGAATAATATGATCTCTGAGTTTAGGAGTCTATGGGAGGAATATTTGAAAGGCTTAAAAGACAGAGACACATCTCATGTCTCAGCATGGGAAAACTACTGCAAAGATGCTGATTTGTAATTTATAGGTTTTGTGGACTCAAAAAAATATTCTGAAAACTGGCAAAGTGATTCTATAATTCTTACACAAAAATAAGTAAGCAAAAATAGCTCCAATAATTCTGACTAAGAAAAATAATAGAGAAATGTACTTTACCACTGAGTACAATTATAAGTGAGGCTGCAGTTATTAAAATATATTGGCAGTATGTTGGCCAAAGAATGAATGGATCACTCAATCAGGGTAGTCTAGAAACAAAATCTAGTACATATGAAAGTCTGGCATGCAACATTAACACAAGTCAGTTGAAAAAGTTAACATTATTCAGTAAATAGTACTTGGACAGGTAACTACGTGACTATTTGGGAAAAAAACAAAGTTAATGCTTCTCTTCATACTCTATACTAAAACACATTCCAGATAAAATAGTTAAGGGATGATGTAAAAAAAGAAAGAAAGAAGCTACAATAAAACTGAAAGAAAGTAGGTTTAGCCATGTGACACCTATCAGGCAAGAATTTTCTAAAGATAATATCAACAGAAGAAACTGCAAAAGAGACTAAAATTATCAGTATAAAAAACTAAAAAAACTTATTGCAAAAAAACAAACAAAAAAACCAAAGGCCTAAATGCAATGTGGGACCCTGGATTGGATCCTGAACAGAAAAAAAAAAAAAAAAAAAATTGTGGAGAAACTGGTGCAATCACAATAAAGATGAGAGTTAATAATAATGTACTAATGTTATTTAGGCCGGGCATAGTGACTCATGCCTGTAATACCAGCACTTTGGGAGGCCAAGGTGGGTGGATCACCTGGTCAGGAGTTCGAGACCAGTCTGGCCAACATGGTGAAACCCTGTATCTACTAAAAAATACAAAAATTAGCTGGGCATGGTGGTGTGCACCTGTAATCCCAGCTACTTGGGAGGCTGAGGCAGGAGAATCACTTGAACCCAGGAGGCGGAGGTTGCAGTGAGCTGAAATCGTGCCATTGCACTTCAGCCTGGGCGAGAAGAGCAAGACTCCGTCTTTAAAACAAAAAAACAAAAAACCAAAAAAAGGTACTAATGTTATTTTAAAAATTTGGATGAATGAACATGGTCACGTGAGATATCAACATTAGGGGAAACCGAGTAAGAGGTATACAGGACCCCTCTGTACGATCTGTGTACTTCTCTGTAAATCTAAAATCATTCCAAAGTAGTAAGTTTATTATTTAAAAATTGGAAAAAAAAAAGACAAAAATGTGCCAAAATAAGAAAAAAAAAGTCTACCTAAATATATCCTTAATACATATATAAGGAGTTCGAATAAATGTATGAGTGATGTACAAAACCTCTAACAAGTAAATGGGCAAGAAGAGAACGATTTTACAGAAAAATCTTTCTGGAAAGCAATTTAGATGCAGATAATAAGCATTAAAAACTATTTATACCCTTTGTTCCAGTAATTCTACTTTTAGTAATTTACCTAAAGCAAAAGATGTCACCATATATACAGAGATATTAATTGAACATTTGTTACGAAAAGCAAAAAAATTGGGAAAAGCCCTTCCATCCAGTAGTAAGAAATAGTTAACTACATCATACTATATACAAATGATGTACCAATGATGGAATAATGTAGTCATGTAAAATTTATGTTCTTAAAGATTTGATGCTTTAATATTTAATTTTTTTTTTCTTTTGAGACGGAGTCTTGCTCTGTCACCCAGGCTGGAGTGCAGTGGCGCGATCTCGGCTCACTGCAAGCTCCGCCTCCCGGGTTCACACCATTCTCCTGCCTCAGCCTCCCGAGTAGCTGGGACTACAGGCGCCCGCCACCACAGCTGGCTAATTTTTTGTAATTTTAGTAGAGATGGGGTTTGACCGTGTTAGCCAGGATAGTCTCAATCTCCTGACCTCGTGATCCACCCACCTCAGCTTCCCAAAGTGCTGGGATTACAGGCATGAGCCACTGTGCCTGGCCTCTAATATTTAATTTTTAAAAGCAGGATTCAAAATTAAATATTCAGTAAGATACTGATATAGGAAAAAGAAATACATCAGAATGCTAAGAGTGGTAAGTTACTTCTGGATAGCAGGATTATGGGGTCAGTTTTTTTTTTTGAGATGAAGTCTCCCTTTGTCCCAGGCTGGAGTACAAAGGTGTGATCTCGACTCACTGCAACCTCTGCCTCCCAGGTTCAAGTGATTCTCCTGCCTCAGCGTCCCAAGTAGCTGGGATTACAGGCACCCACCACACGCCCGGCTAATTTTTGTATTTTAGTAGAGATGGGGTTTCGCCATGTTGGCCAGGCAGGTCTCAAACTCCTGACCTCAGGTGATCCACCCGCCTCGGCCTCCCAAAGTGCTGGGGTCACAGGTGTGAGCCACTGTGCCTGGCCGGGGTCAGTTTTTTTTTTTTTTTTTAACTGTCTTCTGTAATTTAAATTTTTTTCTATGGTAAACACATATTACATGTATATTAGAAACTAACAAATATCTAAAAACCAGAAACACAAAAACAACCTCCTCTCATTTTTGTATTCTCGACTTCTGTTGAATAAAATATTCCAACAACATAAAACATATGTGGTGGGTGAAAACTGGACTTGAAGAGTGCACACCCTGCTGGGATCCAAGCACAGAAGCCCACAGGGCTGGCCCAGGGAGTTATCTTCTTCAGTATTTTTATTAAGGATCTGGAAGCAGAAATTCAGAGCACACTGATGAAATGTGCAAGTGATACTGAGGGTAGACTGCTCATTACTCAAGATGACCTTCCTCTGTTGGGAAAAATGAGACCCTGTTCACAAAGGATAAAATTCACTGGGTACCAATAAAAAGTGACAAAGGGCCGGGCGCAGTGGCTCACGCCTGTAATCCCAGCATTTTGGTAGGCCAAGGCAGGCGGATCACCTGAGGTCAGGAGTTTGAGAACAGCTGACTAACATGGTGAAACCCCGTCTCTACTAACAATACAAAAATTAGCCGTGCATGATGGCGGGTGCCTGTAATCCCAGCTACTGGGGAGGCTGAAACAGAATTGCTTGAACCCAGGAGGCAGAGGTTGCAGTAAGCCAAGATTGTGCCACTGTACTCCAGCCCGGGCGACAGAGCAAGACTCCGTCTTAAAATAAACAAACAGAAAAAAAACGCTACAGAGAAGAATAATTTGTACATAGGATAGAGAAGCCTGTATGAGTCTAAACACAGGAGGGGTTTAGAAAAAAAGACCACAGAAGGGAATGAAAAAAGTACTTTAAAAAAGCAAGAGTTGGGAGCAGCATAATTGAATATGTTACGAGAAAGTGATGCACAAATTCCTTTTTAATTAGAAACTCAGTACATGCTGTGTCTATCTGGTTACCTCACGACTAAAAGGATTAAATGCACCCTAGACTGCCTGTGTCACAGTCCCAGAACGTTTGGGAAGCACCATTCTAAGGCACCATTGGGATACTGTACAAGTTATTTCCCACTTCTCCCTTTATTTTTGGTCAGGTGAGTTACATTCAAACATGCATCTAAATAACTCTAAAAAGGTTCACTAACTTCGTATTGTTTAATATTTTGCCAACTCTAGGATTTGATCAATTTTCTGATGTAATAAAATTTTGTCAAATATCATACTATTGCAACTTTAAAAAATCTAGTTTTTCTTCTCAGATTTGGTACTATACATTTTAGACAACATGAGCTTGGGCTTGAAAAATTTTTTTAACTTTTAGAATGTCATTTCACTGAGTAACAGGCAGAGGGTGACATTTGAGAAGTATATAAGATTTTTGTTACCAATTTTGAAAGTGCTGTAAGTCTCTGCCTTACATGCTTCCCTCTTTGACAACTATTATTCTAAACTTAGCAATGCCACAGTTTTGGCTTTTAATAATGCAATCTTATCACAGAAAGAAAAACAACAAAATGAAATTTCCATAGTAATGTGAGAAAAAACAGGATTATTTTTATTCTTACTGCTTGAATGTCCTGAATCAAATAAAATTCATAGAAAAAAACTACTGACATACCACTCAGCAAAGATCTGGGAAAACTCCAGTGAACTGTTGGCCACAGGGGAGATGAAGTAGAGGGGGACGCTGGAGAGCCCAGCTGAGTCGATGTACTGATACAGGCACTCCAGGAGGTCATAGATCACTCCAGAAGGGTAGCAGGGAACCAACACGTTTCCTCCATTGCGGACTGTCAGAGCTAGAAAAGTGGATGCCAGAGGAGAAAAAACATCGTATCAAGAGGGCAGTGTTATAGACTGTAACTTGTAAAATAAGATTTGCACTTGTTTTCCGACTTCTGTTTTTATGATTCACTCGCCTGTCTAATAACCTGCTTCTTTTGAAGAACACATCAAAGCAGGGGATGCTATAGGCTGATACTGATTTTCTCATCACTGTCTAATCTAGGTCCCTGGGAATAGAGCATGTGATTAGGGGTTTGGGTTTTTACCAATGGCAGCTGAGCTTCAGAACAGAGCCTCCAAGCTCCTTCCTGTTTTAGATCCTGCTCAAAAATTTGCTGGATTTGTCTCTGTTCAGTCTCTGAACATGGCTGAATGACATATAAGGAAATAGGCCAAGTTTTTCTGTTTGAGTAATATTTGTCTGCAGGAGTTAGTAGTATTTTCTTTCATTAACGTTTGTCTGCAGGAAAATCCCCTATACTTTAAGTACTTAGGCTCACCTAGATGCTGTTAACTTGAGTGCTGGTGGACTTGCTATTGCTAGAGTATGGTATTAAAGTAGGGTACAGTGGAGAAAATCAACATAGCTGGTCATAGCTCAAGAGCCTGGCTCAAATCCTACCTCTGTCCCAACCCACAGGACCACAGGAAAGCCACTACAACCTTCCCTGGCCTCAGTTCCTGCATCCGTTACACGAAAAGAATGAATGAGATCAGTAATTTTCAAGCTTCAGTTTGCATGGAAAATGTCAGAGAATATGTTGAAAATGCAACTTTTCTTCTGGGTGTCTCCTTTCCCCAGAGATTCTGACTTACCAGGTAGGGCCCCCAAATTTGCATTTTTAATAAGTAATCCCATTGGTCTTAAGGAATGTGGTTAGTGGACCCCACTTTGGGAGACTGAATTAGAAGTAAGGTTCCTTTCAAGCCTAAAGTTCTTCGAGTAGATGATTCTAGACTATAAACAAACATACAAACCAAGACTATTTGAGATTAGTCCAATTATTTTTCTAAGGTAAAAATAAATTACCTTTGGGTTAGTATCAAAGAACAAAAACAGACTATGTTTATTAGCATGGCCAAGTGAAATTTCTAAGAACAGTGCCTTCCATGTAAATATAAGAAGATGACCACTTCTTCTTCCTAGAGCAGAAGTAGTATCACTTAAAGTTGCTAGAGCTGAAGGTCTGAGCTCATTAACTTAGCTGTTATGGACTGAATGTGTGTGTCCCCCACAAGATTCTTATGTTGTTGGCCTAACCCCCACTGTGATGGTACAGAGAGGCAGGGACTTTGGGAAGTGATCAGGTTTAGATGAGGTCACAAGGGTGCAGGCCCCATGATGGGATTCATGCCCTCGTAAGAAGAGAAAGAGAGGCTGGGTACGGTGGCTCACACCTGTAATCCCAGCACTTTGGGAGGCCGAGGCGGATGGATCATGAGGTCAGGAGTTCGAGACCAGCCTGGCCAACATAGTGAAACCCCGTCCCATCTCTACTAAAAATACAAAAATTAGCCGGGCACGGTAGTGTGCACCTGCAGCTACTCAGATTTAGTGAGTTATATCTGAAGGAAAATAAATTTCTTACAGGTAGAAAATGCCCCATACCTCTCTTAATTTAGCCTTTCTCCAAAAGAAGAAAGAATAAAACCAATCAAATATTAGTGGGGAAAAAATATACCTGTTTGGCTGGGTGCTGTGGCTCACACCTGAAATCCCAGCATTTTGGAAGGCCAATGTGGGCAGATCGCCTGAGGTCAGGAGTTCCAGACCAGCCTGGCCAACATGGTGAAACCCTGTCTCTATGAAAAATACAAAAATTAGCCAGGTGTGGTGGCACATGCCTGTAGTCCCAGATACTCAGAAGGCTGAGGCAGGAGAATCACTTGAACCCAGGAGACGGAGGTTGCAGTGAGCCAAGATCATGCCACTCCACTCCAGCCTGGGTGACAGAGCAAGACTCTGTCTCAAAAACAAACAAACAAACAAACAAACAAACATACATATATATATATATCTGTTCACTGTATTGCTGTTGTGAGTTCAAAGTGTAACACTCTTTTCTGTGCTATTATTTGCAAAGATGTACTGCCTCCCTTCTTTGACAACTGCTACCCTGTAAGCACTCCTTCCCGCATTATTGTAAAATAGTATATTTATCATTATTATTATTATTTTTTTTTTTGAGACGGAGTCTCGCTCTGTCGCCCAGGCTGGAGTGCAGTGGCCGGATCTCAGCTCACTGCAAGCTCCGCCTCCCGGGTTCACGCCATTCTCCTGCCTCAGCCTCCCGAGTAGCTGGGACTACAGGCGTCCGCCACATCGCCCGGCTAGTTTTTTGTATTTTTTAGTAGAGACGGGGTTTCACCGTGTTAGCCAGGATGGTCTCGATCTCCTGACCTCGTGATCCACCCGTCTCGGCCTCCCAAAGTGCTGGGATTACAGGCTTGAGCCACCGCGCCCGGCCAGTATATTTATTATTGTAAAATAAATGCAAGATAGAGCATCCAACGTAAGATGAGAGATGGTTGCACACCTAGGTTGCTGCAGAATTCTCCCACCATGCCATCTGGGTTTGCAGTGGGGATCTGGGTAAGCCCTGTCAGGACAAGAACATCGCTGTTTTTGAGAGAAGCTTGGTCCATGGGCTGAAAAAGAACACAGAAATATGGTTGGTAATTTTAAAAGGAGCATTACCTGCAAATAGTGAAAGAATAAGAGAACACAGACATTGCTTTTTCTATGTTGAACCCATCATCGAGTTCTCTTACGTTCTCTAAGGAATAGTCTGTCCTTAACCACTGGCTGCCTAAGTTGGGTGGGGACTGATGGCAGGAGGCAAGAGGAAGTTTTACGCAGGGATGAACAAGTTCTGTATCTTCACTGGGGCAGTGATTATATCAAAATTCAGTTTTACACATTTAAGAACTTTATGTTTCACCATATATACATTTTACCTCCATTAAAACAAGGTATCTTGTATTTCTGTAATGCTTTCTTCGTTTCAAAATGCTATCTCACATGTCATCAGTGGTTCTCAAACTTCATGTGAGTCAGAATCCCCTGGAGGGTGTGCTAAAACACGGATTGCTGGGTCCCTCCCAGAGTTTCAGATGCAGGTTGGGATGGGGCCTGAGAATCTGCATTTTCACATGTTCCCAGGAGATGCTGCCATTGCTGGCCTGGGGGATCACACTTTGAGAAGCATACATTACAGAATTTGATTCTTAAAATAACTCTGAAGCACAGGAAGTAAGCATACACTATGGGAATATGGAATTTGGGACTCAAAGAGGTAAGGAGATTTACACTAAATCCCAGTGGCATAGAAGCCATGAAGAACCCTGGATTGGGAACTAGAAGGTCAAATCTACTCCCAATTCCATGACCAGCCTCATGACCTCAGTCATGGCTCTGAGCTGAGTTTCCTATAAAATGGGGCTATTTCTTGACCCATCTCCCTTAGATGACTTCTGTAAGTCTCATAGGTTAACATCCATGATCTTGTGAACTAGGAACTCCCAGGGCACACTACTATGTGATTCTTAGGATGCTGTGTTTTTATTTTTACTCACCACAGCTTGAATTTAATTTTGATTGTTTTCCAATCATTTCAAAAAATATTACCCTTTCTAAATAAATTAGGATTAAAATAAGAAACCAAAATGAGGGCCCATGGATTAAGAAGCTGGAGAGCTCACAGGAGAGCTCATAAAGATTTCCATGTGAAATGCATCCTCTCCTCGTCTCCATTGAAAATACCCAGTGGATCATCAGAAGAAAAAAGCTAGCAACACAGTTTACTATGAAGGCCTATCCCTCTTTTTTCTGTCCCACCCAATTTCACAATAAATAAAATTCTAAATAATAGCAAAGTCTCAACATCTGCATTGTGGTCTCCGAGGAGCTGTGCCTTGAGTATTTTCCTTTCACTTTCTATTATATATAAGCATGGATACATGAGCTTCATTATTTTTTAAATAACATAATTGTGGTCCTACGTTATAAGCAGCTTTATAACCTGAAAAACATTTACTATGAAAACAGAAAAAGGCCAGTGGTGAAGACAGCTATATGTGAATAGCTTCTATTTTCTATTTGCACGAGTATATTCACACAAGTATGTAAGAGCGTTTTCTCTGCTTGGGCAGAACTCATCTATTTGTACTTCTCCAACAAATACATATGCATCCATTGTTTCCAGAGAAGAGAGGAAGGTAAGTACAGGACAGCGATTCTTAGCAGATGTGTAAGGGGCCTCAGATGATTTCTCATGTGCGAGTATCAACTGGAAAGAAACCAGAATGGTGACAAAGGAACCAAGCATCAATGGGTAGCAGTTAGCTTAAAATGGCAACCATTTTATATGGACCTTGTTAGAATGAACCAATAATGATCCCGAGGGCCGGAGGGAGATGAGGGACTTTAGAGGATCCAGGAACCTTCTGAAATGGTATATACAATTCTGTGTGTGCCTGTGTATACTTTTCTTTTTTCTTCTCATCTCGGCTCACTACAACCTCCACCTCCCGGGTTCAAGCGATCTCCTGCCTCAGCCTCCTGAGTAGCTGGGATTACAGGTGCTCACCACCAAGCCCAGATAACTTCTGTATTTTTAGTAGGGAAAATTTTCACCATGTTGGCCAGGCTGGTCTTGTACTCCTGACCTCAAGCGATCTTCCTGCTTTGGTCTCCCAAAGTGCTGGGATTACAGTCATGAGCCACAATGCCCAGCCTCTGTGTATACTTTTCCATAAATTTAACTGGGTGGTGAAATGGGGCCATGATCCTAAAAAGATGAAGAACTGCTAATCCACACTTGAGCTCAGACATTTGAGGCTGCAGTGAGCTATGTGTGTACCACTGTGCTTTGGCCTGGCCGGCATTGCAAGACTGTCTCCCTCTCAAACAAAACAAAAGAACTACCGATCCAGATAAAAACATGTAACACAGGCAGGGCTCGGTGGCTCACGCCTGTAATTCCAGCACTTTAGGAGGCCGAGGCAGGTGGACCACAAGGTCAGGCACTGGAGACCAGCCTGGCCAACATAGTGAAACTCCGTCTCTACTAAAAATACAAATAATTAACTAGGCGTGGTGGCGGGTGCCTATAATCCCAGCTACTCGGGAGGCTGAGGCAGGAGAATTGCTTGAACCCGGGAGGTGGAGGTTGCAGTGAGCTGAGATCACGCCATTGCACTCTAGCCTGGGCAACAAGAGCAAAACTCCGTCTCAAACAAAACAAAACATGTAACACAGAGCAAACTCTGCAAACATCTCTGAAACTTGGCCATCAGCATCTTCCTCTGAATATTAAAGGACCGCCAACACACAAACAGAGGCAGTGCTACAGTACGAATGTCGTCGAGTGGGAACCATTTTAAGATACCTCATGATCAGGTCAGACTGGATGTTTGTAATTTTAGCCCTTAACTCAGAGACATTTCTCGTTGATTCCCAGGGCTACTGTGATGAAGCAGGCTTAAAAGGCTTTTAGTGACACTCTCCAAAGCAAGCTGACACCTCAAACATCTCCATTTCACCACCAAAGGGCAAATGTATAGATTACTGGTGTCAATGACCACTCACTGAGTGCTGCAAACGGGAACATTTTGTTCAAACACACACACAAAGAAAAAGCCATCTTGTCCAAGTACCAACTTAAAATACCTTACAAAGTTGAAAGTCATAAACAAGTGATTCTTCTTTTTGGTCACTTTGCAAGCCAGGGACCCCTGGCCAGCGACGCCCCACTCGGGCCTCACTCAGCCACGCTGGTGTGCCCCAGCTTACCTGTTACTGCTTATACCTGTGTTCAGTGGTGTCCGAGCTCTTGTACAGCGCCCAAGAAGAATGAGAATACACTGAACATTAAAGGGCGAGGAGGGTGAAGAAGAATTTTATTGAGCGATGGAACAGCTCTTAGAAGAGAGGGGATGTGGGGGGTGGTTCCCCACCCCTGCAGTTGGGTGGTTCTCTCCTATTATTGACTGAGGCTGGGGTCTTACAAGCAGAGGATGCACAGTGCATGCTGATTGGTTAGTATGTAAAAAAGGTTAAAGCAAAGACACCAATAAAAGGTGAGTATCACAGTGTAGAAAACTAAGTAGGAAAGGGTAGGTATATGTAAAATAGGTGAAGGGTGGGGATCAATCAGGGGAAAGCGCACCAAACAGAAAGATAAATTCTCAATCCGAGTCCGAAGATTTAACTTGTAGCTTGGCTTTCAGGCTTTAAACCGTCTTTGGCTTGGAGGTGTGGTTTCACTGGGTACCCATCCTATCTGCCCAGGCATTTGGCTGCCTCCTGTTGCTCTCACAAACTTGAGGAATAATATTTTCATAAACCCCAAGCCTAAGAGGGCTGTGGCCATGGTGTCGGGCCTCTGATGCTTCATTTAGATTGAACACTTGGCACAAGGCATGAGAAGAAGACCTGGTCCCTAGAAGCTTATAATCCAGTTGAAGAAAACATTTATGCATAATTTTAGAAAAAGGATTTTTCAAAAAGCCACAGAAAGTATAACGCAAATTTTCAGAGTTTGCACTGAGTATACAGATGCCAAGAGGAATGCAGACTAGCAAGCTGCACCAGGCCAGGTGAGGTCAGTAACACATGGCTTTTGGCAGATGATGTTTTGCTCCAGTTTTCTTTTCTTCCTTGGCTAAGGAACTTAAGACTCAATTTCAACAGCCTGGGTCACTCACTGCCTTTGGAACATCTCCCGGACATCTCTCCCTTCCCCAATACCAAGTTGTCCCTTTAACATGTGCCCTGGGGCTTCTAATACTTTCTATCTCAGCACTGATCACTCCAAACTGAAAGTACTATTTACTTGTCTGTGTCCCCCACAGGACTCTGAAGCTCCGTGAAGGCAAGAACTTTGTTTCCCTGTTGCCTAGCAAAATGCCTGGCATACAGCATTTGCTAAACAAACATTTGCTGAATAGATGAATAAATAAAAAGAACATGGTCTGGTAGGAAACGTGAGAATTTCACACTGGGAAAGAGTGCAGTGGGAGTCAGGAAGGTGAGAGGAAGCATGACCACTGCAGGATGGAGAGTGTACTCTGGGCTAGAGAAAGGAGTTGAGTAAAGAGAGTGCAATTGGTAAAGGACCAAAGTGGTCAGGATCATGCCCACTGACAGAGTGGGCAGTGAGGAGTCAACCTTCCGAAGCAGCAAATGACATTCTGGTAACAGCAATTACAGGAGATTTTGCTAAAGGAGGTAGGTGAGAGCAAACAGAGAACATTTTTAAGGCCCCTATAGCAGTCCAGACAGAGAGAAACAAATTATAATGTCATGGCAGGTGAGGAGATGGAAGCACCAGATCCACTTGACTGATCACCTGCACCCTGGAGAAAAGTTCTGCATGTACACATCTTCGCCCACTATTACCACTTCTGTAAATTTCATGTTTCTCCTATAGCCTAGCTTACTCTGTTCCCCAAAGTAGGGGTTTAGGAAATATCACTAACTACAGGAGGTAATGAATGAACAACTAAACAAATGCACCATAAATGGTATACTTTCTTTCTGAGAGAAGGAAACATTCTGCAGAGAGAAGCTGTATAGCCATATAAGACAAATAAGATAGAAAGCATGGAAAGAAACAGGTGGAGAGCCAGTAAATTGTCCGGTCTCC